AAAAGTAAAAGTGTTTTTTTTTCTTCTAAAAGCTTCCGTTGTGCCATTTCTTTCAAGTTGTCAACCCTTTTCATGGCATCGTCCATTTGCCGTTTCCTCCTATTTTTCTGTTCACGCACGCGTTTTCTGTCCTCGTCTAACTGTTTTAGAAATTCCTCGTCTTGATGAAGATCTCGAAGTTTTTGGCTCTGATCCATTTCCACTGCCAATTGTCGCTCGGTAGTTTGGATGTCCGATTTCGTTAGCATTATACTTTCTTTGAAAGCATTTATACCAGTTTGAGTGTTAGGCTGCTTGGTCGTGGTTTTCTTTGTTCTTTCAATTACGTGCTTCATCTGGTTTAACGATTTGGAAGGCGACATGTGAGCCTTCACTGCTGGAAGCGTTGTTTTAGGGTTATCCGTTGTATTTTCTACCACGGCAGTTTCAGCAGGTTTAATTTGAATGAACTCCTGGAGTTCTATGTCAGTTGTCATCTGAGTCAGTTGAGTTTCGTCGCCTTCCAGGTCAACTATAATTGCATCCAAATCATTATGGAGGACTGCAATGTTATCTAGATTATTCGCGGTTGCTTGCATAATGATATTGATTGTGGGGATAAAATATGCTGGTACTAACAGACTCAACTAGTGTAACGTTTGAATTCCTCCCCCCCCTCCACAATTTATGTGGAATCCTGACACACACACACACACGCACTCACGCATGAACACACGCCCACATGCACACACCCACACACAGACACACATAAGGGGGGGGTGAATTCAAACAGGAAAACGATCAATCGGTAGGTTAAAGGCGTTTTATCATTAGTAAATATACATGAAAACTTCCAAGCTGAACGCTGACTGCTTACACGAGTGATCAAAATTACATACCGAGAGAGGGGCGTGACCTAACATCTTGTATGCATGCTAACCAATAAGGATACGTAGAAACAGGTAGGTTCAACGTTTTTGTATTGCCCTTGTGGACAGGTAAACAGGTGTCTGAATAGACGTAATCTGAAACGAAAGAACAGTGGAGGGAGAGTGAAATAGGTAGGTTCAGGGGTTTTGAATGAATGTAAAAATCAATGCGTCTAGGTTAGTTTTTTAAAACAAGATTTGAAGAATTTGTATTTTTTTATTGATACCATTTCGAACATAACAACTACGTAAATATAACACAAAACATAAAACTGAGAGTCCAAAAAAACACTACAATACATCATTGATATCTATCCAAGAGTTTTTATAATGTCGAAATCCCAACCATTTAACTAAAAGCTTATTGCCCTTTCTCCTAATCACCTTTTCAATCAAGTACTCATTTGGAAATTTTGTTTTTCTTAGTTCCTTCTCGTAGAAACAGCCTTTTGTTGGACAACCTTCCACGTCTTCTAACATATATGTAACTGGATTTGAGATGTTGACTTTGTATATTTTAAATAACTCCGTTGAATAATTCGATGTCTACCCTTTTTCAAAAAGATTTTTGTATTTGCTTACTCTGACGATATCGCCAGGTTTAAGCTTCCCTTTTCCAGCTACTTTTGGATGATTGTACACATTCAATCGTGTATGGAACTCGACTCCGATGGGGCTTACACCTGTCGTTCGATGTTTCCCGTTGTTATAAAAATCAGTAACATCTGCTAAGATATTGATCCACCGGTAGCTTCCCCTAACTGAAAATTCAGTGAAAAGTAGGAGTTTTAGTGATCGGATAGCTCTCTCAACTATTGCTGCCTTTTTTCTACTATATGTGTAATAATGATTAATCCCATACTTTTGCATCAGAGCGGAAAATTTGCTGTTGTAGAACTCCAATCCATTATGCGTTTGTAGGTTCTTTGGGTGGTTGGCAGCAGTTTGTAAGATATCATCGATTGCGATAGTTACGGTTACCATATATTTCTTTTTAATTGGTCTGCACCACATGAACTTAGAATAGCAATTGATAACTAATAATATGTATCTATATCCATCATTCTCTTCACTGAAAGATTGCATGTCTACCAAATCAGCTTGCCACAAGTCAGCGAAACCCTTTATGATAGTTCTTCGGCGAGGGAAATTCCTTCAAGCAGCCATATGTATCTCCTTGGCTATACCACGTTTTGCTTACGATCGACATATTCACCACTATGAATACCCTGATGGAATGAGGTTGTATCTGCAGGTATCTAGTTTATTTAGATTGAAGTGATAGGTTTAAAATCGTACTCAACTAGTTAAACTTTTTGTCAAAGTTACGTTTACTTTCCAGCACCTTATCGTTGCAATATGTCACTTAATCACTTAATACATTGGAAACTGCTTGTCGCATCAATTTATCCATTTCGGTTACAAATTTATTAATGGTTTCTTCAATATACTTTACAGTCACAGCATCATTTTTATCCACAGGATCACCAACATCCTTCATCAGTTTTTTTTCAATATCATAGTCACCATTAGTGTTAGTTTGAAGCCAATACCAGATATACCGCGTACGGTATGATGTTTTGAGCCGCGACGTCCAATTTTGTCAACGGCACCATACCTCACACCATGCTGCATTGAAGGCATATTTGTAACTGATGTGATATACTCTAGGTTGACAAATATCGAATCTACGTATAACACCCTCTTCACGCAATTCTTCTATTATTGATATCATTTCATTATCGTGGTTTGTATGCCCAGCCATTTTTGAGCTATATAGTAACCTCAGTCGATCAATTAACTCGGTAATATTATTCCAATATACATATTCATATTGCTTATCATTATATATTTTATAATTCGTGCTTTCAAATATACACCACGACCTACTGATGATCTCAGGCGTCTGGACGATGTTGTTGATATGATATTCAGTAATTCAGCGAAATATTCAGTCATATGTAGAACAATATGCTTTACGAAGTACATTAGTTTTAATCATTATATTTTTCAATGGGTTCAAGTTTCGGGAGTCTAAATTCTTTGTATCAGGCAGTTTGTCCAAAAATATTAAATCGAGTAATTCGGGAGACATTTTAAATTTTATTATCTCCTTCTTCTCAAAATCCAATAGCAGGTAACGTCCACCAACATCAAGGCTCACTTGGAGTTTACCTAATAATAACTTGTCCGACTGTGGATTTGTTCTTACATTGTATATGCCTCCATACCCTGGATTGTTCGCTTTTAAATTAGATATATGGTTATTTATCAAGTTGGTCAAAGATCCGGATGCGTCACTATGATTTGAAGTAGACATGTATCTACTCAATGAATTTTCTTCGTCCGCTCCGAGTGATGAATGTGTCTCAGATTGCGTTTGCATCGGAGCAATAGTAGAAAGTTTAGTATGGGTCAAGTCACCAAATGATACGTTTCCCGAATTATTTGATTCCATAGATTGTGCCGTAGGTGTGCTTGTAGTCGGTGTAAAGATCTGCTGAAATGTATGGTCATTGAATTCACTACTGTTCTTAAGCAACTCAGTTTTTCTTACAGCTGATTTTGTCCCATCAAATAATTTGTTTTTTGATTCATCAAATGATACTTTTTTAGGATGCTTGGACTATCAACTTGGCGTGTTGACTGTTTGGACAAGCTGGATGTAGATGCTTCCGCTATTGTTTTGAGCTGCTTAGTAAAGGGTTCATATACCTGCTGCAATGCACTATCTTGGAAGTCACGTCCTTTCTTGATAGCAATAATTTTTTTCCGAACTGACTCTGCTGCATCTACTAATTCCTTCTTGAGTGCCAATTCGGTAGTATTCTGCTGCCGTTTCATTTTGCTATCTTTTAATCCACCGCGATGCGTACTAGATGCAGTCCCACGATTGATTGATGGTGTTTCTAATCTTCCAGTGGATTTATGAAACTATCAAACCCCTTCCGGTAACGACCACTTGTCAGTTCGCTATCCTTATCGATGACTAAGAATCCATATTTATCACTCCAGCACATTGCACACATGTCTTGAAATTGCTTAAAGGTGATATCAGGTGCTACATGATCGAAGAAAAGATGAGATAAATTTGTGTTATCCACCTTGAATAAGATAATTAGGTTAGCATTGTCTCTGATTACTCTTTTGGGCACCCAGCTGTAACTCTGCACACAATAGAAGCAATCCACACCTTTGTGCCTACCGATACTGAAGTATTCTAGAATAGAAGCCTGACTTTCTGTTATTACGTCATCAAAAATGAATATTGAATTTGGCTTGGCTTTCGATGGTGGTAAAATATCAGAATTGTTGTTAAATGCATAATATCGTAAACCATTGATCGAAGTTAGTACTTTCTGTATAAATTTATATTTCGGTTGATTCAATGATTTTGAATATATATATAGACGTTTTCAAAGAAGAGTCCATTCTCATGTAGCAGTAACGATATTAATACGTTGGTTTTTCCACTGTTCGATGGTCCAACAATAATACAGCGGATTGTGGATGGGAGGAGACTTCCATGCCGCTGCATATTTATCATTGTTTTGTATATCCGCCACTTTTGAATCAATATTGCTGATACATAATTCTTGTTTCTGTTTTGTGACCCTGATTGTACAACGAGTTGAGCATTTATAAACCGCAATTGCGTGTGTCTTATTTATTTAAATGCCAATACTTCGCATTAGAAGGAGTCAAAGCATTCCAAAAGCTGGTGGTGGTGGTTTTGTCGATACGCTGATAGGTACGTTACCATTCGAAGTACACTTACCTTCTTACCAGTTCTATGGTCCAGGGACACGTCTTCAAAAAAGGTTAGCCCTAGGCATTAATAAATTAGACGCTGCATGCTTACAGCACGATATTGCATATCAGAAATCTGATTTGACAGCGAGATACGTTGCTGATTATTAACTTGAGCAAGAAGCTGGGAAAAGAGTCAAATCTCGAGACGCAAAACTTGGAGAAAAAGCTGCCGCTTGGTTAGTTACTAATATCATGAAAGTAAAACGTCACGCAGGAATGGGTCTAGCATCATGTCGTGGACGGATTAGAAGAAAATACATCCGCAGAAAATCGAGTATTATGAAAGTCAAACGTCGTATAGGTATGGGAGGACATGCATTACGGCGTGGAAGAAAAGCTATCCCTAGAAAATCAAGTAGATCACAGGAAAAGGTACATTTTGGATCGGGGATAGTGAATAAAGTATGCAAACACATGAAAAGGTTCTCAAACTGTAAACCAGACAAGATAGTATTAGCAAAGGCGACTTCCGCTGCATTACTTGCTGCCCGGAAGCATATCAGATCCATCGGTGGAAAACGGCTGATTCAGCTTCCACGAGTTATACCTATTTCCAAGGTTGGAGGCATCCTTCCTTTGATAAGAATTTTTGTCGGTCTTTCAGCATTAGGTAGTCTAGCTGGGGGTATTGCCAACATAACAAGAGCTGCTAAAACAACTAGTTCAGTGCGAGCAGGGTCCGCTGAAGAATGAATCAGTCATAATTAATTTAGATAACAATAGTGGGGATGGGTCACGTTGGGTTTCATATATAAAACGTGAGATGGTTGTATGATACTATGATAGTTTCGGCAATCTACCCCCACCCAAGGAGCTAATCAAATATTTGACCAACAAGTCGAAAAAGCTAAAAATCTTGTACAATTATAAATGACAACAACAGTTCAATACGTTTTGGTGTGGTCATTTATGTCTGCGATTTCTATCTGAAGAACATGAGAGCGCTGAAGACAATGGATCACGAAGGATTGAAAAAGATTAGAGACTCTCTTAAAGCCTTTTCAAGGGAGAGAAGCCTGTTGAATATGACGCGAGATGAACTTGTACACATACCGAAAGAGGTACTCATATGCTGCACGCCAAATGAAATAGCGCATGTATGGAACAAACTACCGGAGCACTTGAAGGAGGACAGCGATTCCAATTCTGCTGGGAACATCATGGAATAAGCGGGAATGATGATGAAGCAGATGGACCGCCACCAAGAAAAATATTTTGTTGTTATTGTAACATGCAAGATATGAATGCTAAAAATACATCTGAATCAAACAACTGTTGTAATCAATAAATATTTGTTTACCTATATAAGACATGTTTTCGTTCATCAACTCTTCAGTCATGTCTAATACATTTACTCTAACGGGTTACACTAGCAAACTGTCTGCTAATTTTTATCCACCAATCGAGTTGGATATAAGTGCGGAATACGGTCTGGGGTTGATTGGCTTTTATTCATACAACACCATATACAACATTGATGATCAACATAATAAAATATCTCTTACTAACGAGGGTGACGAGAGTAATGTGGTAACCCTTCCTGAAGGTGTTTATGAAATCGAAGATATCCATAACTACATACAACATGAAATAATATCAATGAATGATACATATAAAGAGAGATATGAATACAAAGTTGATGAAATGTTCTCTTTGAAAGCCAACACTAATACTTTGAAGTGTGAACTCCATTCTGTATTCGATATTGCTCTGTCCAATTCCATGGCAACTTTGCTTGGATTTAAGAACAAAATATTTCCCAGAAACAATACCTACACATCGAATTTACCTGTAAACATAACCCCCATCAGGATAATAGGAGTCGACTGTGGACTAATATCAGGAGCTTACTGCAATGGCCATGAAATGCATACCTTGTATGAGTTTGATATAGACGTTGAACCGGGATTTAAATTAACAACGGAGCCTCAGAATGTAATATTTATGAGCGTTAAACCGCGAGGACGCCAGTTTATTGATAACAGCACACTGGAAATTTTGGATGACGTCGGGAAGTTGGCCAATTTCCGTGGTGAAAAAATTATAATCAAATTAGAACTGCGTCGCCTGTCTAGTGCCAGCTGGAGACGATGGGATTTCTATATAACCTAGATATACAGCATTTGAAGAATGTAGAAAAAGGTCGCTCAACTAATCATAAAAGGCGAAGAACCAATGGAAATTCCGTTATTAGGCGTTCAACCATCATCAAAGACACAGCTTCGAATATTTCACTGCAAAATCGTAAGTTCCTAGAGTCTATAGGGCTGAAAATAATCAAACAATATGGTTCTGCACGTATCAAATGAGAAATTAGATGTTTTTGAGGAACCCATCATAGATCATTCCTTAGCCAGCCTACAACAATACACATACAAACCATATGGATAACCATATTTCAGGAATTCAGATATAGTTCACATTCCTATAAACTTCCAAGAACTTATTTTAAACATTGCTTACAGTTAACCCTGCTACCTGTCAAACAATGCATTGGCTTTTTGTTTCAAGAAATTTCTCTTCAGATGGGTGGCGAAAAAGTTTATGGAGGTCGGAATCCCGGGATAACTTCAACTATAAAAACGATGGTGTCACATGGTAAAAGTGCTATGCATACACTTTTATGTACTGGTTGGGGCTTAAGTGCCGAGAACTTGGCTATATGGGATGACAAAAGAAAAGTTTATAATGGGATTTGCAGAAGATTACAAAAAAGGGATTATAAATATAATAATTGCAAGATCCTTCAAAAACTGTTATGTAGGTAAATGTGATGCTGAATTGACTATCTCCGAGATTGAATGGAAGGTTCAACGCATCGTTCCGGAAAATCGTTCAAAGTCAAAAGCTTCTGCAAAGGTTGAATAAACATGTGAGCTCAAGGATCAAAGTAGCATTTCGATCTTGGGATCTCTATGAGCTTCCATCTCTTCGTTCTACATCATCGGATGTTTGGGCAATTAGAACAACCAGTAAACTAGAGAGACCTCTATTCGTTATCATTGGATTTCAAGATTCTACAGATGAAGACAATCGTTCGATGGATATAACGAAATTCATAAATGACAACGTTAATTCGATTCGTTTGAAGTTGAACAATCAAGTATTCCCATATGAAAGGTGGAACTGGAATTTCGAAAAAAAGCTCAACACCGCAGCGTATTATGCATTTGAGAACTTTCAAAGAACATACTGCAACAGGAACATTCCTGAACCTATGATGAATATTAAAGAATTTAATGATAATCCGCTATTCGTTATTGATTGCAGCCATCAGCCTGATCATCTCAAACTTTCAACTGTCTACATATCTTTGGAATTTAAGATCAGGAAATCTGCATTTCCATTCCACACCAAGATGTATGCATTAGTTATTCAAGACTCATGCATCAGTTACAATGCTTTTGATAGGTCTATCCAAAATGGACTTATTCATTCCTATTAAATGTTTTTTGTAAGTGTGAAATAAAAAACATTTTCTTACTACATGTTGCTTTTATTTACTTGTACGCGCTTGAAGTAGCCTAAATCTAATACTTACAAACTTCCTCTAACATTAATTTTATTAATAAGTCTAAATTACCATTTTCAGGAAAAACACCTTCTGGAATATCATTGATTGCACCTATATCATATTTAACATTCAACGAGTTTTTGTGGTGTTAGGAATGATAAAACTTTTATCATCATGATGTGCTAGAGTAACTTTATTTTTCACCTCAGTGTACACATCATGTAATTAGTTTGCTTTTAAAAGTGTGTATATTTCTCAATATCCGCCCACCTACTTCGATTATTCTCTTATAGTCATTCTCAGATAGCTGCTTCTGTATATTGAATTCATTGTTCTGGTTATAATTTGATGTGACAAATTCATTGAACATTCAACCACATCTTCCGTCGATTCATCTCTATTATCCGACACGTTGCTGATAGGGGTCGAATCGCTGAGATGTTTTTTCAATTGGTATGGTCATTGAGAGGACAATAATAGCTTAACACAGGCCCCTCCAACTTTGGTGCCTCAAGGGCAGCGCCGAGCACCGGAGCACCGCTCGCCCATTTCCAACATCAATTGTCGCTCGGTATTTTGGATGTCCGATTTCATTAGCATTGTACTTTCTATTAATGCATTTATACCTGTTTGACTGTTCGGCTGCTTGGTGGGACAGCAGCATACACATCGGACATTGTGATAAAGGTTTTGTGGTTGGTAGTCGTAGCGCTCACCGAATAGAAATGGCATGGTCACACTGAATCTACCTTCATCGCGGATCCGACTAAATTTACTAATAATATGTAGTTTTTAAGTAAATGAACAAGAAGAGCTCGGTATGACCGGGCGCATCCTATCGAAAGTACCTATCATACCGACTTGAAGATAAAGCGTGAAAGAAGAATGTCACCGTCTTGGTAGAATCCAATGAAGCCTACATACGTTTAAATGAAATTTTAGGCTCATTTGAAAACAACTTGAAATGAAAAACTTATTTCCGCCAGAAGTTCCTGTCGTATTAACTGAAAGCTAGAGCAGTCAATGCAAATAGGTATAGATAAAAGTAATATCCCTGTTTGTATGCTTCATGTTTGCATTCAAAAGCTCATTCGAGTTTGTCAGTTTGACACATGGCTACTAGATGTTTGAAAGTATATGTAAAATGAATATGACATACGTATAAGTTATCGTAGAATCCTACCGTCACGTTGTATCTTCAAGTCGGTATAACAGGTACTTTCAGCAGGATGCACCCCAAGCCCTTTTTGTTCATTTACTTAAAAACTACATATCATTATTGAGTCTAGACGAATCCGTGATGTGGTTAGATTTAATCTCGCCGGCTCCCAACCCCAAAGGAAAATGAGGGGAGTGACATTCGTGTTGACAATTGAATTGGTATGATCGAGTCAGCGCACAGGTGATAAAATACTGGTCATAAATTCGACGTAAACACATTTATTCTTAAGATGATCTTTGACAACGTTTCGATTCAACAAATTTTCCAATATTTGTTACAATGGTTTTAGCAGTGGAAATCCTGAGTATCGCCTCTAAGAACACATCTGACTACGATTACCTCTTCAGAACATTGAAGGGCTGACCTCAATTCATCATCGCCAGTAATGCCGTCATAATCGGTATAATGTTTGCTTACATAATGTCGGTGAATACTCGATGACTTAACGTTAACTATTTTCTGACAAATTAAACATTGTGCTTTCCATCGGTATTTACAAAAAAATAGGCTTCTTCCCATGCGGTATTGAACGACAATAAGCACGTTAAGACCACTTTGTCTTGTCCTATTAAGAAATGGCCTACGACCGGGGGATAGTCCGATAATATTTTGCTTTCTGTCGCGACGACTGTGAGGCCAAGGAGGAGGGGGAAACTTCAGGGCACCTGACCACACATTACGTCGACACATTTCTATTAAACAACACGTTTTCGATGCTAAGAGGATGGTCATTGTGAGGAATTTAAACACCTCCGCCCCGTACCCCACCACACAAACCCCCTCCCGGGAGGCAAGACAATCGGCGAATCAAGTCTACTACTTGCAACAAACTGGGCATACCCATTAGTTCTCATTTTGAAGGTGTTTTAATCCCCCTCCCAAGTTGTTCTATAAACTTAGGAGTTAAATAAAAAAGTTACACAGAGTTTTGTATTTGGACATGAGGCCTTTGCATTCACTCTAAAGAATATAAGTATAAATCCTTCTGTAAAATTTCCTTTACAACAGGGTTCACGTTTGGCTAGTTAGCCCGATCTTATTAAGTTTTATGAGGTTTCTAGATAACACATTGCAATTTTTCAACGCAGATTTCACTGCACATCTTTTCGAATTGCATACCTCGTGTATTGTTATACAAAAGTGACTGGATGATTAGGATTTGAATAAATTATAGTTTTAAAAAACTAAAAAAAAGCTTCATATAGCTAACCGAATTAAAAAGTAGAAAATAATTCTTAATTAAAGTGAGTTTAAATATTTCAGTAGTAAATGGTTGAACAATCAATCATAATTAATGACCTCAAAATAAAATTATAATAAAATTTAATTTATTAACAGAGTAATTCGTGGAGTGCTTGATATTCTAAATGTTACAATCATTCTATAGGCAACTATCTATGAAAATGAAGTAAAATGCATCCCACACTTTTTACTCTGGATTGAATTATTCTGTTAATAACTTAATTTTTATTATAATTTTATTTTGAGGTCATTAATTATGATTGATTGTTCGACTATCTACTACTGTAATATAAGGTTCTTTGAAAGTAAAAATTATTTTCTACTTTTTAGTTGTGTTAGCTATAAAAGCGTGTTTTTTTAGTTTTTTTAAACTATTATTTATTTTTCATTTTGTAGTTCGATTTATCAATTAGTTTTTTGTGGACATGTGGTATTGAAATGTCTTACGAATAATTTCGTAATCTAATCATTTCATTTAAAGTTTTACTGTTGCATGGGGTTTTGCCTGTTAACTTAGAGCAATCAAGTTCTTCAATACGAATACCGTCTAAAGATCTGACACGACTAAGTGCTTGTCCAGCAGCAAACAGTCGCGAGGCTAGATAAATGACTGCATGATCGACTGTACAACCTTGCATCTTGTGGACTGTTGAAGCCCAACTCAGGATTAATGGCAACATTCGCAATGAACAAGGTGAGAATGCACTACCTTGAAAAAGTATCTGCCTCCGTTCAGCTGTGCCGAGTGCCCGAACCAACAAAGAGTAGGTCCGAAACTGCACCCATGCGCAGATCGCGCGCTAGCTCTATCTCACGAACTCCCCTACAGAGGATTTATAAAAGAATTTATCAATCCTGGCAGCCCAAATACGGATAATGGAACACTTTTATCCAATTATTGCATTGGCATCGATCCTTGATACGTGTGCGAAGTTTCAGGTTAATCAAACTTCTGGAAATTGGTGAAAATTATGCTTAAAGATTCCGTTGCATACATACATACAGGACAAGCTTATAAAAGTGTGCCGGATTTCACAATATTTGAATCCTTCCAAAAAGCTCTTGTCTTCATCTTAAAACATATCATCAAACAAAGTTTGACTTTTGAATTTTGACTCCTCTGAGAAAATGTTT